GACATCCTGGTTGATGTGTTACTCTATGAGTTTTGATAGTGGTGTCACATTGCTTCAAGGTAAAAGGATGCTAACTATGCGTATTAGGAGTTGTTTCTCTCCTCTACCACTCAGATTTATTGCAGCTACTAAAGAAAGAATTCAGCTGACACTTAATAGCTTGGCATAGTACAGAAGAATGAAAACAATGATATCTGAATTGTATAGTAATTTTGCGAAACTGGAGGCTCCTGACAGTTCTAACAATGTCAAAATATGATCAATGATGAATTATATTCGAGGCCTCCTGAAAGTCAAAATTGCGTGCTCCCCAAACACGATAATCATTAATATTTGTTACTATTATGATTTATGTGATATTCTTGCACCCATACTACGTAAATGTGCATATTTTGATAGCATTGGACTGCACAATTACATCAGTTTGTTGTTGCTCTTGTTATCAGTTAGTGTTCATGTAAAATAAGTTTTCTTGCTCTGAAACACGTCAGTAAAATATTTCTGCACTTATGTATTTGCTGTAGGTGATTCAGGCAGTTTTCATGGGTTAAAAACTGAGACCTTTTCAAGTCCGTTGTAGACGAGACTGACAAGCAGTCTACAGAGGGCTTTCGCCTGAACAAATTCACCAAGCATGCAGTTTACATTACAGAGAGTGATCTGCCGTAAACGTCTTAAATCAGACATCACCTACACTTCAGACCACAAGGACAGAATGGGGTACTATGGGTTCTGTTCATCAGCAGAATACACTAGTCGATGTACTGTCTATCCAAATGACAAATGTTTCTGTGATAAACCTGATATGGTGTCCACCGGAATACATCTGTATTTGATTGTTTGCATATCAATATGGTGTAACCATTTCCTGTGGACTACATGCATCTCGTTTACCTGATTGGCTTGTACATATGTGGCTTATGCTAGCTATCAGTAGACAGTTGGGTCCGAAAATTCATATGATAGCTTATACCAACACTGGAGATTGTAACTTGCATTTACAAAGTTTCAACAGAAACGTAGGAAGCTGAAATTTCTCCATTCATCGAAGGCAAGTGAATTCAGGCTTTTCCATCGCTTTATGGCTAGCTATACAATAGAGTTGGAAGGTTATCAGCTGCTTCTATACCAACGTGTAATTTTGCTATATGACCTTATGTGAACCCACTTACAGTTTGCATTTGACTTTCTTTAGTTTATTTGTTCAATAGTTCACGAGATGGATAAAGAGGGGAGGTTGGCCATGGTGATATCAACTCTATCCCAGAGAATCCATCCAGTTGCCCCAGGAACTTCAACCTCACGAAAAATATTCTAAAAACGGTGTTCTTCCGATGTTTAGTGGGCCACATCTCCATTTTCTTAAGATTGAGATGAAGTCTGTCTGGTTTTTGGTGTATCCATCAGGTCAAATCCCTGTTGCCTTGTGTATATCCCTATGCTTGTACACACTGCTTCCAATCATCAAATCATTGAAGGTGCAAAACTCAGTGAACAGTACTCCGCTGTCATTCACTTCGCCGACAGCCTCTCAACACATGATGAGTTCTCTTGCTGCATTGTCTGCTCCCAGTTCGGCTGACTTTTATACCTCCTATGAGGATTTTAATGTCATCATTTGGGATGTTGTCCACCCCTGTTTCCAATATTCTTCATAAATCTTTCTTTGTCTCTATTTCTGAGTTGTTTGTAAGTTCTTAGCATTGGATAACTGTGACCTTCCTCCCATCCTTTTGAGTTGAATCCTGCAGTCATAATTATGGAGGAGATTGATTCCCACTGAAATTAAGGTTTTGATTGCTATTGTTGACATCGTGATGGTCACTCCCTCAGTGTACTGATAGTTGTTGTCTGGGTGACCGGAGTTAATTGCTGACTCTCCAGTTGACAATTTTGATTGTCCACAACCATTCTACTTGCTCTTGCAGGTTTCAAGCACTTCTATATGATATCTTGATATTTCTCTGGCTACCTGGGCAGCCTTCCCAGCTTCGTACATTGTACGAATATTCCACGTTCAAATCCTTATTTTTGCTTTCATCGGAAGAGGACACATAGGCTGACGAGCTTTGAGCAGGTTTTCACCAGCCCACATCATTTTGCCTCTCCGATTCCAGTCAAAATTACGTTTAATTTTATTTTGTTGTGTTTCGAAGCTTCTGTAGCAATTGGACTGATTTTTCTGTGTAGAGTTGCTAGCTCCTCACCCAACCGACCCTCTTATTTCTCAGGTCTAGGACCAACTAGCAAGCTAGCGGACTAGGTGCGATGAATCAAGCTCGCTGAAAATTTCTACTGAACTTTGACTTTCATTACTTTAAAATTGATTTGGCTTGAAATAATGGGTGAAAGGTTCGAGTTTCAGTAGGAACACCATCAGTAAAAATACAGGTACACTGAGCTGATGAATCCCAAGAATAATAAAATACTCATCCTGGACTCGATTACTGGTCACTGTCAACCGAAATAATTTAGCGTTAATCCCTGCAGACATCGCTGAGACATATGTTTTAGGAACCGACATGTCAAAAGAGACTGAACATTTCACTGCAAAACCATGAGTCAACATGAAATGTAAAATAACCTTAGAATAAAAATACGGGATAGCATTGTTTAAAACTGATTCACCAGTGGAAGAGGCAAGAAAAGATCCGAAGCAAAAGTTCTTTGTTTATTCTGTGTTACAAAAATGTTTACAAAAATAATAAGTATACTGTAACTACTGGTTTAAAGAGATAAATGTATTTCGCTATATAGAAATCAGATGTTAATAATGGATGTACTCTATCAAGAATAATTTGCTTATCACACTGAATTATTCTATTCATGAAATAAACAAAGTAAACACACTAACAGAGAAATTATTCAATGGACAGTAACAGTTAGACTCCCCATAAAAATACAAATCATCAGTGAATTAAAACGATAGTAATCAGTATAGCAAAACCGTACCACTTCACCTGCTCTCAGTACCATCTTTAGAGTCTTACAGCTCCCAGAAATTAAGGGAAAGTGCAAATGATTTATATCCAGAAAGATTTTGTTAGAGGAGATTTAAGAAATTTTGACTGAGAAATAAAGCGAAGTAAATGCGGAATTCTAGAAACTACTCATGTGTTTTGCAGATTGCACAAATGACTTAATGTATTTACTATCACGGAGAGACAGAGCTAGGAAGTGTAGAAGAAGAGAAGTTATTTCGAACAACAAGAAATAACTGCAGATTCCATAGGCATAATGAGAACCTAAAAGGTTCCCATTACCTGAGGAACTAATACGAAGTGTACATAGATAATGTGGTAGTTAATAAATTAGAAACAAATGGGTTTCATAAAAATACCACAATAAGAGAATTTCAGTAATTTTCATCTATCAAATCTGTTATTTCAAAGAGGAGTGAATAAGTTCTTAATTTAAAACAATTGGTTAGTATTATTAACTCGGATAGTGTTATTAGAAGATGGAGATTATCTGAAAACTGTGAGGTATTTGCTCAATACATTCAGAACTATTGGATCACACATTTACTCGTCAACTCAATTTATAGCAAAAATAAAGGCCAATTAAAATACACAAAGTGACAAAAACAGAGTTTACAATAACGCGAATAATTAACACCACTTGTGACTATATAATCAGATAAAGATTACACAGATAGGTTGAAAGTATTAATTAGTTGTTTCTGTACACACAGGGGACTTTAGTTTTCGGACACACAACTCTTCAGCCTATTTCAATAGGCGCCACTGACTATTTCTAAAAATAACCGTAAAGTCTGTTTCGAAATCAATCTTCTGCTTCGTATTGACGAGATATCCAGCTATAGATGTAGCTGGTAGCCTACCACCTGAGTCTATCGATTTTCCAAAGTTCATCTGTTTCTCTAACCACTTCAGAAGGTGTTCTCCCACGCCCACATGAAAAACTCAACTCCTCCTACCTATGTATGTGTGTTGACACACTCACTTAAATTGGTATATAGTGTGGGACGTGACACAATCACTTGTGCATTTGTGAGGTTTTCAGTGGAGCATACTTCCGGCTTTTTCGATAATTATAGGCTACACTGCATAATAGTTTCTACGGATGACTGAGTTTAGTCTCTGTCTTAAAATCCTACTATTTCCTTCCCAAATGAATGGTAATTAAATGAAAACACCGTTCTTAGGGACAGAATAGATTGTAGGTTATAGAACTAACTGACTTCTACATCGACTTAAAAATGTTGAAGAATATCCGTTTTCAACAGCAGTATCCATCAGCAACAACTATATAAATACTCTGAATCCTCTTGGATAAGCACTTCACCAAGCTTGGGTTATACTGTGGTGGAGAGAAGCTGTGAAAACGTAAATACTGCCCTGTCCAAGGAGGTTTTCTATAAAATGAATCATTACTCCTCCGACTCAGAAGTATGTCTAAAAATGCAATCTGGTAGAGACTTTCTTCATATCATATAAGACTTATACGATTTTGTGAGCAGTTGAGTCTGTGCTGTAGACAACTCGCTTTTTCACGATTGCCGCATATCGTAACAATGTCATCTACACATCTTCTATGGAAAAGTTTTCAATATAATATCCGCTAACAAAGATTCTAACAGACTCACCAAAGCAACGCCATCCATTTGTCAACTAAGATTTCTCACTGGAAATCCCTCGTGCTTATTTCATTCGAATGAATTCTGAGTCATGTTTTCATAAAAATAAGTTAAGGAGTTTCAGCATGCATTAAATTGGTGTAGCACAAACTTTGATTGGGAGACATACCAGGAAGGAACAGTACTGATATTCATTGACTAATATTTTATTGTTCACCCGACTAGCTGCTTATTTGTATACTCTTCGACTTCTTTTCGATGTTGTTGTATCGGTGTAGCTGAACTATCCAGTCGCTTCCCACTTCCCTGAATTGTTATTAAAAATGTTTAAAAGCATATTTTATGTTTAAAGTTGACTATACCTGAAACTAATTAAATATACTGCTGTTAATTTCTACAGACTCCTGATTAAAAATCCTCACTTCATGAAAATGTACAAACCAATTCAGTCAGTGACGTTACCACAAGCATTAAATTCAGACTACCTTACCACTATGGCTATACGTTATGTGGACAGTATAGTGGATATTGTGGAGAATTTCAACGATGAAGAGAATTTACAACAAAAGATTAAATATCTAGCTGGTAAACATACAAACTGTGGATTAACAGTAGCGCATTTTGTAGTAAGTCTACAAATTTTATGCATCTGTGTGCATATATGGCAAACATCGGGTATATCACAAGAATCTGTTGACGTTAAACTCCCTACTTTCATCCCTACCTAGTGATAGACGCTGAGCATTTATTTTATTGGTGTTATTATTATTATTAAGTTTACTTCTAAAAGTCTCTTTTATGCTGAAGTATAACAGAGTTCCTCAAAATACTTTGAAACACTACATCATATGTTTTAAAACGTTATTTCCTCCTGACTGTTAAAAACCGTTCACTGTTCATTTTATCCACAAGATACACCCATCTGATAATCTTTATCAAACGGAAAGATAAATTAGCTACTAATCTCCAAAATATCGTGTCATTTAGCCTGATGTTCTCATTGAAAATTAGATTATTTTACCCCACTCAACATTAGGGATATCCAAGGTTAACAGGTAACCATTCGGTGACTAGTTTGTATTGACATCTTAAATTCATTCACAAGAGAGCGGGAAATGATCTCGTTTACTATCGACATGATCAAAAACAGCCCGTACATATAAATGAAATATCCTCAATTAAATTGTAAATCTCATCAAAATGCTTTTAGAGGAAAATTTACAAATTCACCTGCAATCTGAAATCATAACTGCTACTAATAAATTAGTTTGAAACATGTTTCCTTATGTAAATGGACTAATAACAAGACTTCTGGTTAAACTGATATTAATGGAATTTTGACCGGCATCTTTAACGCCAAACAGTATCAACATTTTAATCACCACATTCGTTTCCAGCATCAATCAAACGAAGCTAAAAGTTAATCTGTACTGCTCTCAGTAACAAGTTTTACACTTATTTTAACCCATTGATAAAACTGATACCATCTAAGAGATTCATATTCAGGTATTATATTAGTAGCCCTAACCACCCATATTGTTCAGATGACAACTAAGAAATAGTTTTAATTTTGAAAAGAAATTTCTTCGCTGGATATAGACTTGAAGAAAGTAACCGAACACTGTGATGTACACAATTTTATCTAAGAATCATACATAGCATCACAATATGATGATAAATAAGTTTAAACTAGTCAGTTCATTGTCAAACACCTCAGTCAGAAATATGCTTTTTATTCGTCAGCGGCTTTGAAGTGAAACTTTCAGTCATAACTACAAGTTAGAATTTTATTAGGCTACTTAAATATGTTTTTGTGATGATTTTACCATAACGATATCGATCCTGCAACTCAATAATTCTAGGCTATCATGTTAGGTGAAAGCGTAGTGCATCCAAGGCCAAATATTATTTTTAGATCAGTCACATGCACCTTCGACAAGTCATCAGCTAAGAGGGCTTAGAAACAATATCACTATTCAATGGAAATTCTTGTCAGACTAATCTATTTGTAAAAGATATTAGTCTGTAAAATGCACAAATATTTTGTACAGCTTTCTGTTAACTGTTTCACCATTTTAATAATATTTCCGACAACTCATACCGTGTACAGCATCACTACTGTAGGAAATTAGACGCATTATCGAATGCCTAAAACAATCTGCAGTGCAGCAAGATGATATACTACTCTAACTAATATAAAATAGTTGGGAACAAACAACATGATCGCTTAGATCACTTCAAACTAGACACTAAGCACCATTGATTGGTTTGAGCGGTCTTCATCTGACCAAACAAATATGTACATTATCTAGGTATTCTGCTTTGATAATTAATGTCATTTATGTTGTCAAGCTGGTCAAATATTGTGGTCACAATTGTTCGGGCTCCCAAAGTAGACCGTGATGAATCTTAACTACAAGTTGTGCAGTTCACGTGTCGCGTCTTCATTATACTCACTAACATATTCTATTGGGATTTTTATTTAGAACGATATGTAAAAGTAGTATATAATTTTGAAGTATAATAGAGAAGATTTGTAGCCCAGGTGGACAATTTGCAATTAGTTGCGTTCTCTGAGCTGGTTGATCTTATTGCGGAGCTTTCATCGTCCTTCTGTACATCTTCAGCTCAAGTTTTAACACAAAATGAACTGATTTAAATTCCCCATGAATGATAGAATTGCGTCTCCTGATAACCATCTTCGTGAATGGTAGTCGATTTACATCTGTAATGATCATTTCTTATTGACTTGGATTTTAAACTTTCTTTTCACATGATTTACATTTTATTAGCTGTTATATTTGGTCTATATTCACATGTTTGCTAATCGCATATTCATTTGAGCACCAGGCTTCAGGAATTCTCTAGCACTTTTAGAAAATTTAAATCAGTTCACTTTATGCCTAAAATTGCGTTAAAGATGTTGTCCAGAAGGCGTCCAAAGCTCCGTAACTTAACCAACCCGCTAAGAGAACATTAATACTTGCAAATGTTGAAGTATGTAAATTACACCACAGAATACCCGAGAAAATATAATTTGCAGAAAAAATCAAATTAAAATTTGTGATATCAATATGCACAAAACTATTTATCATAAAATATTCCTTCTTCAACTGATTAAAAATGCCCATTAAAATTCAAAAAGAATGGATAGAAACTGAACTCTTTTCGATAACTTCATCATCAGGCTCTACAGTTACATGTACATTATAGTGAATGCATGAGTTAGTCTTATGAACAACATTAATGTTGTTTAAATAACATCGAATCAATAATAATATTAAAAGATTACAGCTCAAAAGCATCAACACAAAATAAGCTGAATATCAGAAAAATTAGGAAAGATAATATTACAAATTCATGAATTTATAGTCTCTACTGTAGGTCAGGACAGTAGTAGGGGCTGGATTTGTTTCTTTTGCACACAGAGCACTGGTTGTTTGAGGCGAATTGAAATAGCCTCTGCTGTTTGGAGCATGTGGTGCTTCGATAATTTTGGCAATTTATTAGACATCCGGTAGATGGTAGAGAAGGATTCTTCCACGCTGGCTGGCTTTGTGGCCGGTCTGCACCAGATGGTCCAATATCGAACTGTTAATGGTTTTCACTACACCTTTACTTAGCCATAGTGGGAGATGTTCTCGAGCACGGAAAATCAACTTCCTAGAGCGACGGCCGATATAACTCTCTCGACAAGCGCAGCTGAATTGGTAGGTACAATTTGAAGTGGCCAGCTAGTCTAGGTACTTAATCTTTCAGTCGAGGAATCAACATCGGTCGTGTATAGAATAATACGTTTAGTTTGCCAGCATTAGAAGTTCTTTGAAGTGAGTTTGTCAATTTTTTCGTAATTATTTCACTTGGTATATCGCCCTTGAATTGTAGTCGTATATAAAGTGGCTTCTTGTTTACGGATAGTGAGTAGTCCTTTTCCGCCTTCTTTGTCATGTGTTTCTTGATAAATTTTTCGGGATAGCCATCTTCGATTAAAGTATCATATACAATTCATCTTCAATTTCTTCTTCTGAGCATATAGTTGTAATTCTGTGGCTGAGGGTCTTTACTAAATTTCTTTTGTACTTAAAAGGAAAGAAGCTATGAAAATGTGTACATTGTCCTGCTCAAGTACTTTTTCTATACAAATTTCTTTTTAAGCTACCATCTGGTTTTCTTTTAATGAGGATATCCACGAAGGAAATTCTGTTTTGGGATTCCTCTTTGCACGTGAATTTCATAGCCGAATATACCAGATGGTAGCATGAAAAAAAATTAGCATAAAAGAAGCAAGTCCAGCCGCTACTATTACTACTACAAGTATAAATTCATGAATTTGTAGTATTATCTTTCCCAATTTTTCTGACATTCAGCTCATTTTATGTTGATGCTTTTGAGCTGTAATCTTTTAATATTATTATTGATTCGATGTTATTTATACATTAGTGTTGTTCACAACACTAATTCACTCACTATTATATATATATATATATATATAACTATAGAGCCCAGTGATGAAGTTATCGAAAGGAGTATTCTTTGTTCAGTATCTATCCATACTTTGTTAATTTTTCACTCACTTGTTTCGTGTCTTCTTTTCTTTTCACTTTATTGAATTGGTGACTACCTGCTGCACCGCTGAATACTTTACGCAATACAGTCAATTTTGCCTATATTCACGGATAGTATTGTATCTTATTTGAAGATTGATGATAATAAAGAAAGTATGCAATTTATATTATCAACTGTATTTCCAATGATTGGGAAACGCCTATAATTTTCCTCAAGCAATGCAAATAATGTACTGATGATATCAAATAATAAATAAAATAATTCATTCAGTCCACTTTGTTTTGCATTTTATTTTAAGAGTTTATCTATCTATCTATCTATCTATCCCTTGGCAAATGATTCATGCATTGCATTTATTTTGTCGGTAGTCTCCCGGTATCCCGGTCAAATTCGATAATTAAAAATTCTTTGTTTTTATTATGATGTCTGTTTGAAACTGTTCATTCAAATTAATATGCGCGAGTCCGTCTGAAATGGGTGGGCAGTTGGAAAATTCAATACTTAAAAATATTTAAACTGAATGTAACTAAAAATCCATTTATGCTTCTTTTTTTACATTTCAGGAAAATCAGTCTAACAAACAGATTTTCAGTTTGTAACTAGACCACCCATTAGAATTTGAATAACAGGGCGTAACTATTAAAATTATTCTTAAAATTTCGTCAAGTTATTGAGAAACTCTTTAGTAAATGACGTTTTGCATTAATTTTTAAAAAAATCCCAGAATGATTAAAATGTGAACCCACTGAGCATTTTTGGAAACCCTTCACCTATAGATATTTTGATTATCACACTTTTCTTATTGCGAAGTGTTCAACCACTGTGAAGTGATTTTCAACACTTCAGGTGTATGTTTGTCAATAGTATTTCACTTTACTAATTGATTATAAAACCACATAGTATGTATACATGTGAAAATGAGATTTACACTTCTATAAATTGCAAATATTGTGTTAATTTGAAATGCTACTTACTGCAAGTCAAAATTAGTAGAACAAATCTAAGGGATTCGTGTATGTTAAAATGTCCATCCTGAAAGTTTTATTATTTTATTTATTTTTTTAATTTTTGATTACAGCTTGATTCCACGCTATATTTTTGGTACAAGTATGAAATTTTCAGCATGGATATTGGTAGCCCAAATTTTGTAGGCCGACCATAGATATCAGGTGTGCGTCGTCAGGGGCTCGAACCCCGAACCATGTGCATGGTCGGCGAGAGTCCTAACCACTGTACCGCCGACGCACGCATTCTGAACCTACTGATTGAAAGTAATGCTTTAATAATATTGTAAGCTTACTGGAGACGGCAAAACGCCTAAGAAACATTAAAGAAGTATGGTTACAGGTTACTGATAACTAGATGGCGTGAATTTAGCGTATGCACCTAAAAATTCTTAGTAATCAGACTAATCTAGGGCTTCTAGAAAATTTCTACAATTTCATAGTTTCTGACCTGAACAATTTAGACTTATTGTTATAGATGTTATCACTGAGCCTACTAGACAAATCCTAACTGTTTTACACAACTAGAATAGACACGGAGTGTATCTGAGTTCTTGTTGTGTTCAACTGATCACTTAGGATTCGAGAGTAACTACAACAGATCAGTGTTACTTGCACAGTGTACACCACTCTTAAGGTGCCTGCGTCTTATGAAAGTAAAGTGTTTTATAAGTGTCCAATAGTGGTAAATGCTAACAATAAATGATACTGAAAGGAAGTCTAATGAAAATCAGAGGAGCATAGTTTGAGAGTAAACGTTGTCAGCAGCAGGCTTGCTGAGTAGTCAGGAAACTCAACAGCTTTCACAATCCTCAACTTTATGGCAATAACATTTAAATTATATATTTTGTTATTTGTATAGAATACTGTTGATTAATAGTAAACATACTGTATTAGAACCCAAAAATACAGAAATAACTCATAACTCTGACAAATATGAAATACGAGGTGTTATCAGCCAATCATAATCATCCATAAAGACGTCTTGCTTTATAAAACACAAAACGCTAAATGAATTAGAATGTGTTTACCCCACGATAAATGAATGGAATTTTATATTTAAGAAGTAAAAACCCACAACTATAAAGAAATATATTAACTTTGTTTCATCAACTTCGTCTTTCAATCAGATATTCAGTGTTTATCTTCTTTCAGGAATTTATTTAAGTGTCATTTAGCTTCACGAGGTAATTTCATCTTAACTAACGGTGTCATACTTTTATAGTAGTAGTTTCTTAAGACAGTAAGTGAAAGAAGAACTGTTGACATTTTCAACAGAACCACTCAAACTCTGCATGTTAAGAAGGGATATGACAATACTCAACGAATTTCCCAAAAACATAAAACAACATCCTATGACTTGAAGTAATTTTTTTATTCGTAACACGAGACCTTATTAACAAAATAATTGAAAATCAACTAAACAGAGATTATATGGACCAAAACAAGTAAGCAATAACGAGGGAAAAAACAATTGAAAAGGGTAGAACAAACGGTGATAAGCATAAAAGAAAGTTACTTGAAGGTAGGGTATATATGTTTAACTTCCTTAGGACTGCTTTTGAGCCCTTTTATCAGCAGACTACGAATTCCCCGTGGAAATTATTCTTGTGTTAGCTATTGTCTGGTGAATGTTATAATACAAATGATATTGTGTCTTCCGCTCCCAACTTCCATTCAACTGGTATAATTAATGAACTCCAGGCATTCATAACAAATTTTAATTACTTCGAATGAGAGGTGAGTGAAATAGGGACCAACTTTCTAAAACACTGGCTCGGGGTCCTTATCAACTTTATCACAGAGAAATTTAGGAAACTGAATACAAAGACGTGAATTGTACAACTTTATAGTGCGTCGGTGGCACAGTGGTTAGGACTCTCGCCGACCATGCACATAGTCCGGGGTTCGAGCCCGCACCGACGCATACCTGATATCTATGGTCGGCCTGCGAAATTTGGGCTACCGATATCCATGCTGAAAATTCCATACTTGTACCGAAAATACAGTGTGGAATCAAGCTGTAAATCAAAAATAAAATAAAATAAAAATAAAATACATGAAACTACGCGTACAACTGTAGATCATTTCTATGTATATGCCTCAGAAACTGAGGGATCATTATTCCTCCAGTTGTTTAAAGTTCAGCATCACCATTTCCTACTGAACCTATTGATATGAGCTGCTAAAATGTTAATGGATTCATACTCTAATATCTTTCTAGATAATTTTAGCTTTCTATAAAAACTATTATGAAACACGACAATGTCGCTCAAAACTTTTCTATCACTTTGAACTTATTAGTCTTAATTTCTTTACCATTGATAAAGCTTCTGTTTTAGCTTCTCTCTATTGTAATATTATTCTCGTTGAGGCTAATGACCAAAAGAAGTTTCTCAATCATACTATTATAGACTAATTCTTACTTCACATGACCTATATTTAACTATGTTCATTAAAGCGATAGTAAGTTTCATTATCACGTTCATTAATTTCAGATTTTATTTGGGTTTTCTATTTTATTACTTTTGAAGGTTTATTTTATCACTATTTTTTTTTCTCTAACTGTTTCTTATGAACAGAAATCACTGGAATTCTCAGCTGATTCGCTAAACAAAATTATTTTTTAGTATATATTCAACGTCTAGTAAGCACAAAGAAGAAAATATAGTTACAGTAAAACAAAAGAATTTACTCACTGAAACATTTTATTTAATCAAAATTATTCTTGTTAATATTGATTAAACTCTTGTTTTACTAAAAATCTTGGCTTCATTTAAACAGGTATAATAAATTCTAAATTTAAGTAAAACACCATATTAGGAAGAAGAGTAATAATTAGCTGTAATTTCAATTATACCTTGCACATTTGCATTTATACAACCTGAAACAACAGAAAAGATGACCTATACATACTTTGCTTGTTGGTATTATTTTATTTTATTTCAAAATAGTGAATCAAAGACAACCAGCCACAAAATTATTTCCCTTGATAGGTAAACACTGGGACCAGTTACTTTGAATTTTAATAAAACAACGGTAATAGTTCAAAGGTAGAAGCCAACTTATCAAATAGATTTCACCTAACAAAATGAGTAAATTTAGTCAATTTTGAAACAGTGACCGAGACATGTACAAAAATAATTTTTAGGAAAAACACGTTTACAAGTACTCAGTATAATTGATATTAAGGGATAGCATGATGTTAACCAATGAATTAAGTGCTAATAAGAATATGTTGCACTATGATTTGCTTCGAATTCAGTTTTGATTTTCCCGTTGATTGATTCGACCAATATGTTAGCCCACTGTTGACATGTTGGCTCCAAGTCTGAAAGTTGCGACGATATTCAACAACTAAATTGAAGTAATTTGGTGGATAGTAACTAGCAGTGGAATCTAGGAGGCGAATTACGTCATGTCCAGGACTTACCAGCTAGATATACCTGCATTCCTACCGACCAGTGAGTGGTGGTGTTCGCACCAAGCCCAGGGAGATTTGGACATCACAGATGATTTATGTCAAGTGTCAAACAAACTTGGAGATCCACAGCGGAAAATCAACAATTAGGCAGAAGAGAGTAGCAGCAAAGAGAAGAATTCAGGTGAAAAAAGAGGAGATAGACGCGATGAAGGTACATGGCCACCACCATCAGCCCTATGTCCCACTCGGAACTCAAGGGAACAACAATAAACCATGTCTATATATATATATATATATATATATATATATAGTATTTATATATGTGATGATTTATAGTAGTAATAATTACGCTATCATATCATTAAATTTAAAACTGTTAGCTGCACAATATATGGATTATGTAATGAAAAATATAGAGAGTGAATCAACTACCGAATCGTTAAAATTTACTGAATAAGAATAGTTGAATATAATAAGCTAAACAAATTAATACTACAGGAGAAATACTAAGTTTATTATTGAGATATAGAGGAAGCAAATGGTTACTTTTACTCAGGTATGTGTGTTAAGCTATAAAGACAGCAAAGGCAAAGGATTTCTCTCAGCACACAGGTTACTTTTGTTTAAGCACCTTACGACGGCTTCTGCTGTATGCAAAAGATAAACTTGTAGAGCAAAACTAAGATTATGAGAATTGCTATAAATAGCTTCAGATGGTTTGAAAATGTCATTTCAGTGTTGAGTGATGACAAAATATACCAGAGTGGGAATAAGGAT